CATTGGCGGGTGGGCCTTCTGCCACTCTGCCCCCATTCTCCGGAACTCCATCTCGCAGTCCCTCCACAGCAATATGCTTTGTTGCTTCTCCATACCAATGTGACATCCATTTCCTGCACACTTTAATTAATCTGGCAGGTTTGTACTGCCTTTGTGAAATGTTGGGATGTTTGAGGAGTGCCTGTCAGACTAATTTTTGGGGTAGCTTATGAGGAAAGCGGTGGATTTTGAGAACTAAATTGTGTGGAAATAGCTGTGCTTTGAGGCTGTGCTTTTTCTGACTTGTAGTGAGGACATGTTCTGGCAGGAGTACTCATTTGTCTCTCCCTGGGGGGAAGATGCTGTGCTTCAGAGCTTGTGTTGCTGCTAACAGGGTCAGGAGCAATGAAGCCTGTTTCCATACCGATTAATTTATACTCGTAAAGGTGATTGCAATGGAGAATGGGGTGTTCATACAATTTGTGTGGCCTGAAAGGACCCAGTGACAGTGCATAGGGTTCAACGCATTCAGGTTGTGAAGCAAATAGAACCATAAAAGGGTTAACCCCCCGCCCCCTCCCATTCCCTTTAAAGCTCACAAATGACTCCATGGTGTTAAATGAGATTACAAGAGGTTACAAACGAAATGATGCATACATTGCTGATGGATATTCTCAACCACAGAGCAGTTTGATCATTAGCACTCCCATTTAAGGTTGAAATTGTAAAATAGAAAGTCTGGATCGGTATTAACTTTGTGCATCTGTGTCAAGCAGCCTCTGGTCTTTGGCCTGCAGTCTCTCTCTGCCCCCACCCAATGGACCTCCATCCTACAGCCCCTCCACCTCGCCCCTTCCCTTGTCTCCTTCAAGACCCATCTCAAGACCCTCCTCTTTGACCGTACCTTTGGTCACCCTCCTACCCCTACCCTCCCTGCCCACCACCTCTCCTGAACCCACCCACCAACTCGGGTGGGGATTCCTGACTGTCCAGCACCTTGGGACGTCCTCCTAATGTGAAAGGCGCTGTACAAATGTAAGTTGTTGTTGTTGGTCTTGTTGGCATCAGTGATGGAGCAGGTGCGCAGTGCTGCAGTACGTGTCTTGACCTTGTGGACCTCGTTGTCTCTCCGAGCTGTGGAATGATCTTGGACTGTGAGTGGGAACACAACAGCAAAGGTTTTTTGGAGAGGGAGGCTACATTTTTATAACCAATACTCAGCTGAATTATCGACCTTTTTGAGTGGAATGGGGGCAGCAGCTGGTAGCTATTTCCTGGTGGCACTTGGGTTAAAGTGACCGTATGTGGTGCAACTTGAATCCATATAAACATTGGATCGTTGAAGCTGTCCTGTTAGTGACATTTGAGAAATACTGTTGATCTAATTGAAGAAACTAGCCTTTTTCCATTTTCTTTCCCCATTCCCACCCCAACCTCCCTCATTCTCTTTCCCCTACCAAACACTGCTCTCGTGCTTTGTCCTAGTTCACTTTTTTTTTCATCAGAAGGGGAGCCACACTGAGCAACCCATCACGTTTTTCTGTCCTGTGCTGTTTGCTGCATTCGGGATGTTTAATCTCATCCTGGCACTAAAATGGCTGTGTTGTCTCCTCCCATCACACGTTAGTCACCAATTATTTACTGGAATAGAGGAGACTGGTCGAAAATGTGTCCTTGTAGATCTTTGCCCTCTGTAAGAATGTCCTTGAGTAGCTGATCGTTGCATTTGCAGTTGACTGAATACAAAATTTGGCCTGCTGGAGCCTCTTTGATTCCAGAATAATCTTCAGAGACCAAAGCCCTTCCCCTCCCCCCACCCCGAATCTTCTGTGTTGTCAGGTGACTCGTACTGCTTTCAGCTCTCTGCTGTCTGGGAAAGTTCAGGATAATTCCCAGTTAATGCTTGATGAAACGTCATTGATTCATGTGGTCACGTGGCTTATTAATCGCAAACTCATTAGTGCTTTGCTAATGGTTTTTTTTTCTTTAGGCTTGAGTGTATTTTGTGTCAGATGTGCAGGTTGAACTTGTCATGGGTGGGTGGGGGGGGGAGTGGCGTTGTGTGAATCCAGCCTTGATTCTGTACGATTCTCTGAAACGCATGATGACATTTTTAGTAATGTTCAGCCTGTAAAAAGCAGCGTTTGGCTGCTAGGGATCTGGTCTGCTGAAGCGAGTAGGATTGTTTGATATTAACAGCCAAAACTGTACGGGTTGCTGGCTTCCGTTTGTACAATACCAAGAAACAGTGGCGTGAGACTTGAAATCTTACCCATTAAAGTGTGTACCATTCTTAAGAAAACACAAATCTCTACTAATATGGTTCAGTAACCTAAGGGTTATCTACCTGAGCTATCTTCTCTTCTTTCTCTGCTGTAGGGAAATCCAACGTGATTGTCAGGACTAGGCCATATGGGCAATCGTGGTTCAAACCCTGACACTTTGCTAGGCTGCCTCACCTCATTCAACTTTTAGGCTGGTTTTTATAATACATTATTTATATTCCTCTGCTATTAGAAGCAGTTGGTGTTTTTTTCTTTTCTCTAAAGATTTTCCACTCTAAGACTCATTCAGACTTCAAAGCGACCCTCATCTCCAACAAATATCTGTTCTCGTTTCTCTACTATTTCAACTACAAAAGCAAAAAATGTCGTTGGGGCATATTAGCCAAAATTGTTTAACAATAATAATCCTTGCATTTGATATAGCGCCTTATCATGTCGTCAAGACATCTCAATGCGCTTCACAGGATACACTATAAAGTGATTTGACTGTATTTGTGGGGCGAGACACAGCCTTCAGTTTGCACGCAGCAATGTCCCACAAACCGGCAGGGAGTGAGTGACCAAGTTTTGGGGGAAGGTTGTACCATGGGATCTTTAACATCCACCAGAACAGGCAGACAGGATCTCGGTTTAACATCTCATATGAAGGATGGTACCTCTGAGAATGCAAAACACCCCAGCAATGCACTGGAGCGGCAGCTTAGACTATGTGCGGCTTGAACCCACAACCTCAGAGGCAAAGGTGCTACCATTGTGCCTGACAGATACACAAATATGCAGACTCTAGTTTAAGTTGCAGTAGTTTGACACACAAAAATGCCCTGTTTAACTTTTTTTTGATGAAGTTCATTTCTCTCCAGTCGAGGGATTGGATCATAAATATGGGTTTGGCCTCTGCACCAAGGTCCGTACATAAATGGTCATTTCCAGCTAGTGATACTGAATTGGTTGAGTACAGAGCTGAACTTGTCAAATTGTAGGCATACAAACAATATAAGCAAAACATATTCAATAGCTGAGTACCCAGCAGTGTGGAAATATCATTTTGACTAAAGCATCTGATAATAACAGAACTTAAACTAGTGAAGTGTTAAAAACTAGGAATTATATTAACGAGAGCCATGTTCACGTCTCTCTTTTTTCCCGTTCCCTCTCCGATCTTGTTCCAACAAGAACGAGAGATGGCACTTTCTGTCAGGATTTGAAAAGAATGGGGTGGTGGTGGTGGGGGGAACATGGATCTGTAGACTAGTTTGGAATAACCTCGAAGCTGAAAATAATGCGCAAAACACTATCTAATAACGCATCCAACAACAACAACAACAAGATTCCATTTATAGAGCGCCTTTCACGTCAGGAGGACGTCCCAAGGCGCTGCACAGTTGGGTCATGACCCGAGCAGGGGGGAAATGGTCAGGGTGAGGGGAGGGAAGGGAGGGAGAGAGGAGGGGGGAAATGGTCAGGGTGAGGGGAGGGAAGGGAGGGAGCGAGGAGGAGGAAGAGAGTCGAGAGGGGAGCTGAAGGCACGGTCAAAGAGAAAGGTTTTGAGACCGGCCTTGAAGGAGGAAAGGGAGGAAGCAAGGCGAAGGCACTGGGGATGGAGTTCCAGAGCCTGGGGGCTGAGAGGCTGAAGGCCCGACCACCGATAGTAGGGCGGTTGGGGCGGGGGACGTGGAGCAGACCGGAGCCAGAGGAACGGAGGGTACGGGCAGGTAGGTAGGGGGATAGTAGGTTGGAGAGGTAGGAGGGAGCAAGGCCGTGAATGGCCTTGTAGGTGAATGAGATCTTGAATCAATCCTTAGCCAGTGGGCGACAAGATGTGTCCGGCTGGTGCGACAGTAACGCTGCAAGTTCTGTGACCTGCCTGTGGAGGAGGTCCGAGGAGAGAATCCAAGAAAAAAAACACAAATGGGTAGGCGTTCCAATGGGCTTTTGGCTGGCTAAACAGTTATCGATATGGCCAAGACCTTGTGATCCTGCATTCTTTCTCAATGGATCATTTTTGCTAAAATATCATGCAAGACCTTGTGTTGATCTGGAAGAATGCACTGCATAATAATCCTTTCATTTGATATAGTGCCTTTATCACGTCCTTGAGACATCTCAAAGCGCTTCACAGAATATTCAGGGATTACTATGGAAGACTTTATTACTAGTCCCAACCTTACTCTGTTCCTTGACATTTCAAGCTTCCCTCATTGGGTGAGGCCCCCAACAAACCATGAGTTTTTTTTTAAGATGACGATACCTAATATGGGCGATTGTTGTATTCTCTTTATTTCGGGAATGTCATTTTTAAAAATAGTCTTTCTACCTGTGACTCACTGAATTTTTACAGCCTAGTTTGGAAACTGTTAAACACATTGCTTGGCATTTCAGAAATCTGAAGCATCTCGTAGCTCGTGAAGATGGAGAAGGAGGGGTGGAGGGGGTGGGTTAGCTCAGGGAAAATGAGCTCACTCCCTTCAACAGTAATGCCAGAAATGGCCCTCTCTTTATCATTGAATAGAATCTTTTAGCTAAAATAACACTAAATATAGGAGGAGGTATTCAAGCACTCTGGGGCACTACCCTTCGTGAGGGGCTCTGTACGAATGATTGCTATTGTATTCGTGAGCATTTTTCCCAGCCCTGTTGCCTCATACCAAACCCTAAACAACAGAACTGCTCATTGATCACGAGTGAGTGGGTGTAGAGCCGTGTGGTTTTAATTAATTTTCTTTTCTTTTCATCCAGGAAGAGGACGTAAAGGTTGAAAACACTAAGACATCACTTCCTGCTGACAATGGTGAGTTATTAAACATTAAAATATTTAATGTCTTAAACAATCGAATTGTTTTTTGACTAACACAAATTATCAGACTTTCTCTTTCTACCCCCCTTTCCCACCCTCTGAATTTCCCAGTAATGAGGTACCTTTTTATATACCAGTCACTCATTGACTGACAATTTGTTTCCCCTCTTGTTTGCTAAACACTCAACGTGTTAATTCAATCGTCAAATGGATCATTGCACGACACGGCAGATGGTGTCTCTTCAGACGTAAACAAATTCTGGAGGTTTTACAGCAGTCGCTGCTAAATCCAAATCGCATAGAAAATTACATGCATAGATTACACTTGATGCAATAATACCTCAACTGACCAGTCCTAATCTTGCTGTTGTGTTTAGCTGGGTTACTAGTATAAATAAGTGCACTGTTATGACTATCAGCCCCCGCCCATTATGAGTTTATATAGTTTGCTTTGGTACTTGTTAAAAATTGTAGAATGTTCTCTTTATTGAGGGAACTCAACTCACACCAGTTGTTGCTACCTCAGGTGCATTAACCTTGCATGAAGTTCTGCTGTTTTCCTTTGTGTCCAATATTAGATAAATGCACCACTCTGTGCTATTGGAATATTAGGCAATTTGCTCACTTGTGCTGTGTTTGAGATTGAATCTCCTGCTTTGTGTACTCGCCAGCAACAAAACCATATCCTCCCTTTCCTGAGGCTTTCATTATGATAGGCAAAACAAACTGGGTGGCGGAGGGAGAAGAGGGTTTTCCCAACTTCCGATGATGAGCTGAAACTGGTGTGTGCTTGAGCTGTCTGCAGTAAAGTTTTGAGGAAACTTTCCCGTATCTATTAACTAAGGGTAGTGTATTAGATCCTAAATTTGATAGAGCACCTTTCATCTTGGGAGTACATCTCAAAGTGCTTCACAATAATCACTGAAGTGTGGTGACTATTTCTGTATGGGACTTGTATAAAGGCTATCCTTATTTCACCAGCTTCTGTTGTGATTGCAGCCAGGAAGCCCTTGATAGTTTCCTTAATAATGTTTGGGATTATAATTGACTCATTCTGTCATAGAAGGAATTTTTCCATTCCAGGCCATCAAAGCATTCCCAATTTTGGCAAAAGCCCTACTGAGTGTTCTGGGATCACCAACCTGTGTGAAGGGCGCTATATAAATGCACGTTGTTGTTGTTGTTGTTAGTCCAATTTAATTTGTCTCCAATATCACAAAACTTGAATCTTATACTATTGTAGGTCTGGACTTTGATGCAGTCCTTTAAAGAGCTAATGGGTCAACAGAGCAGTTTGTGAGAATGAATTAACTGGAGAATATCCAGTTTTCATTATATTCCTGGCTTTGTTGGCTGAATCCAGCGACTGAAAACTGCAGTCTAAACAGGTTCTGAGGGTTAAACCCAGGCCATGTAATTGCAGTACTCGAGCATACATCAGCAGTGATGATTATCCTAAATACTGCAGCGATATCAGCAATGACTATTCGCCCATCACCCCAGGGCTTAATGCAAAGTGATTGATACGGGAAGACTAGTGGAATAAGCAGGTTGCTGTGTTCTAGATGGGGGTGGGGATGGTGGCCGCATAATCTAATTATTGTGGCACGGTGTCTTGTGCTAGAATACCATGCACATCCTGATAAAGCTTCCGGCTTTGTTTCGAACAGTCCAAAGTTCAAGCTGCAGCTTTTTTTAAAATTAAATTCGAGCGCACATAACAACAGTCCATCCAGTAACAACAACAAAATTACATTTGGATGCCTTCAATTCAATAGATGATTCTATCTGTTTTTTTTTCTATGCTGCGTTTTTTTTGAGGATAAGCTTCCCACTGTGTATCAGATTTTAGTGAGCTGTTTATTTAAAGGATTTTCCATTGAAATTTAGGACAACCGTTGAAACTTGTTGAGCAAGGAATCTTGCACTCGTAGTAGATGCTGTCTAACCCCCTTGTAGGCTGCCCACAACCACTTAAGTGCACTGCTTAAGGCCTCCCTACTTCCGTGACCACCTAACCCCCTACCAACCTGTCTGCTCAGCGGGCTCTGGGCTGTTTCATGTCCCCCACCTTGCCTGTTCCACCATTGGCAGGCGAGCCTTCAGCCTCTCTGCCCTCACCCTCTGGAACTCCATCCCACAGTTCCTCTACCTCGCCCCCCTCCCTTGCCTCCTTCAAGACTTGTTCAAGAGCCTCCTCTTCACCTGTGCCTTAGGTCACCCTCCTACCCCTCACCACCCACCACCCCTCCTGATCCCAACCACCAACTCAGGTGTAGATCCCTGACTGTCCAGTGCCTAGGGGAATCCTTCTGACGTGAAAGGCACTGTACAAATGTAATTTGTTGTTGTTGCTTGTGCGGAAAACATACCTTGTGTGGTGGTGAGTTGGGGGGCAATAGGCTGGTCAGGGTGCGAGTGTACCCTTTTTCTAACGCTAAAGCTTAAAGAACTCTTTGCAATCTAGTGAACGATCTACAGATGTGAACTGATGGGTTTCCTGATACTCTTTATGGGTCGGCCAACCCTCAGTGCTTTGTGTCCAGAAATAAGTTGTAGAAATTTTTATTTTTTTAGCAGGAAATTGAAAAGATCAGACTTCTATTAAGGTAGCCAACCCCTCTCCCTTCCCCCCAATAATGAGGTCACATTGTAAGAAGCCATGGTTGATATTGGCGTATTGCTGGAATTGAACAAGACAAAACTGTAGCTTAACAAGATGAACCAGGGAACACAACTGAGCCTGCAGAGAGACTATGCTTACCTTCTTGTGTCTTCCCTCTCTCTCTCCCCTCACCACCACCTCCGCCTCAGTTTTTGTGAGAGTAGGTTTCATTTCTAGACCATGCAACTATTTATATTTAACTTCGGAACTGCATTCCACAGTCCCTCCGCCTTGCTCCCTCCCTGGCCTCCTTCAAGACGCGTATCAAGACGCTCCTCTTTGGCCACCCTCCATGTCCTCCACCTTTCTCTCATCCCAAGCCCCCCATCCCCGGCTCGGATCCAAATCTCTAATTGCCCAGTGCCTTGGGACGTCCTCCTGACATGAAAGGCGCTATTACAAAATGTAATTTGGGATTGTAATGGTTAGTTTTTCTGTACCATTCAGAAGGCCTAGTTGATGACGCTCTCAAGTACAGTCCTGGCAAGATTCGAGGCAGCCACTATGAGAAGACTCTGACCAGAGAAGAGCTGGAGGAAGAACAAAGGTATGGAGACGGAGCCACACTCTGGCTAATTGTGCCCAGGACAGTAACCGACAGAAGCTGAAAAGCTGATTCTTAGTTTTTTTTTAACATAGAATCTTATTTTCCTTAACTTTGTTTCACCTGAGTCTCTTCTAGTTTTTTTTTCTCTCTGATTTTCTCTGTGTAATTTTCACTCTCCTCACTCCTTCATTTATCCCCCCAAACCCCACCCCACAATCTCATGGTCCTTGCTGTGCGGCCATGGAGTTATATTTTACGAATTTTCAGCCCATCCAGCTCTCTCAATGGGACCATCTCAAAGCTATATCACTGTCTTCCTTCTCCCCCCACCCCATTCTGTTTTTAATCTAATTCTCTTTTAATTACCTTTTTGTGTGCTTAACTCTGCTTCAATAACTGCTAGTGATGGATAATGTGTGTGTTCCAAATAATCTTTTATTTTGAAATAATAGCATTAACCAATACATGTCTAACCAATAGAGCAGGCTGGTTCTTTCTTGAGAGAATAGGCAGCAATGGAAAAGTCTGAGGTAATGAAAATGGGGATCGATGTTACATGATTGATGTGTTGTACCAATTCAGCGAAGGCTCCTTTGTGTTTTGTTTTCAAAATAGATAATGATGCTTCAGTCATTATAAACTGCAATTAGATATTATTGGCAATGGGAAGGGGGGGGGGGGGAGTTTTTTTTTTCATTTTGATTTCAAAGCAAGCATTTAAAGCTGAATTTCCCTTCCCACACACGCACACTGAACTGATCCAATTAAACTTTTCTCCTTGATCTGTTTTGCCATTCATGCTAATGTTCCTGGAAGATTTAAGTTCATCTTCTGCATAGATAGTCTGGATAAGATAATGTGGCATATTGTCAACAAAGTTGTGTCTAAAGCGGTCTCATTTTCATTCCATATCTACCCAACAAGCAATGAATTCACAGCACACCCACCTCAGTACATAAGTTGCATTATTTAAGAACCTGTGTTTCATTCATTGAGCAAATGGACAGTGTTAAAGATAATGCTGGTAAAAGGCTGGCCTCGGAAGTAAATTGGATGTAAATTGTCACATGCACAGAGCTGCTTCTGTACACTTCAGTTTTGGTGAGTGAGAGTCCATGTGTGAACAACTTCCATCTGTATAGTGCTCTGCCCAAGACAGGATGTCCTTAATGTATAAGAATGGAATACATTCTTTCCTAAGAATGGAAGAGGTGAATACTGGCCAAGACGTGGGCGTAACTACATTAGACCAAAGGCAGTCCTTTCTTTTCTTAGTGGTTTTAGACCAAAAAAGGTTTTAGTTGAGCACTTTAACTATTGGATTCTTTAACTTAGACTAAGAGGCAAGTATCTTCAACAAAATACATAGCTCTTTGACTCAATATGTCATCTTTCACCTCCCCAGCTCAGGTACCCAGCAGTGTCGAGTACTTTGAGATGTCCTGATGTGAAAAAGTGTTGGGTAAATATGTATTGTATTCAATGCATCTTTCCCCATGGAAACTCAATGGCATCAACAACTTGTATTTACACAGCACCCCTCACACAGGCCAGTGTCCCAGTCAGTTGGGTCATTGACAAGTTAAGCTGAACTGTCAGTTGAGAAGGAACAGACCTGCAGGGAGGGAGATCCAAAGGATTGGGGTGTAGCAGCTGACGTCTAAAATCATGAGATCATCAAGCATTGAATCCATCTTATCTGTCTTAAGAAATGTGCTGTTTATCTATTTGAAGGAAATGCCTTCATGGATAATCACTCGCTGTCTCGACTTCACAATTTTACAGCCGTAAGGAAAAGAAGATTTCAATTCGTTGTGCACGTGTCTTACTAGTGGGACTTAATCAGATTAATTGTTCGTATCACTTGCCCCTATTTGAGGTCCTATTATATTAAAAAAAAGTAGCCTGGGATTTAGGATGATTTTCTACAGTGCATAGCTGCTGAACTTGATAAGACTTGTGTGAGTTGAGGGGTCCTTTAGTCAGATGTATCTTTGTGCCAAACTCAACGCTTAGATCAAGACAGCTGCATCCAGGTCCACTTGAAGTCTTTTTATATTTTATTTCCTTGCATTTTTTGGAGCTTGAGGAAACCCCAAAAGCTCAATATAGCTTTGGCTGCTTTAAAATAAATTATATATCGCATTCCCCTCCTTCTCTCCCCCCCCCGCCCCACACAACCCCTCTCTTGAGATTCAATTTACCAGAATATTCAGTGACTTTATTTCCTGATTCCCAGCAATTGGAATCCTTGCCCTGGAATGGATTGCTATGTGATGTTGACATTTTCCTAGATGCCGATCAACTTTTTACATGGATAGGGTAATTTCTCACCAGCCTCTCTCGCTCTCTCTCTCTCTCTCTCTCTCTCTCTCTCTCACACACACACACACACACACACACACACACACACACACACACACACACACATCTCAATGCTATCATTGGGACATCTTCTGCCTTTTTCCCACCCATTTTTCTATCTCCTCTTCTGGGCACTCCTTTCATTTCCACTGAGGGGTGGGGGGGAAGGAATGGTTGTAAAAGTGCTGGTCAACCTACAGTAGCTTCACCAGCTATTTGAACTTGAGGGGGCATCAAGGCCAAGAGCAATCTTGTTCTCACTCAATGGACCCCTACATGGGATTTTTGCACAATGATCCCTGGATAGTCTCAGAAACATGAATCCTGCAGTGCCCAGGCCAATTGGCTGCTGCGTTTGCCCACAAAATATCCAGTCAATTTACTTTAGAGTATAATTCTGCAAAACACTTTGAGATGTCTTTAAGATGTGATAGTGCTATATCAAATGTAAATAATATTATTATTGTGGTGTCCCAACCACTGTCCGGCTGCATATTTGGATAACTCCATCCAGTATTTGAACTTGTGTAGAAGATTGCTTTAACATCAAGACCATTGAAGAATAAAATCTTCATTTTTTGACCGAATCCCTGTAAAGCCAACTGAATGGTTGATTTGAATTGCATTAAGCATCGTTAACCTCAAAATATCAATGTCACAATGCCTTAATGTTCTGTAGTGGTAAATTACAATAGAATCGAGCTTCTTGAGACCTAAGGACTAATCAAATATGCACCAAAGCCATTTACCCTGCAGGTTTGAGTATTTGTAATCATTGGTCAGAGAAACAGATGGCAAGTAATGTGATTGGTAAGCACTCGGGGATAGGAGGCTGTCTGGTCAGTTAATCCCGAGTCTAATGTTAAATCCAAGGTGGGAAAACGGATACAACTAGTTTGCAGGGTGTTATCACTGAGAGCATTTTGCTGGTTCTTGCAGGTCCTTTACTTTGGGGTGGGGCGGGGAAGCTGTAGCACTCCTTACCAGAGCAAGAGAAACATGAAGAGGCTTTAAGGTGCTGTTGTATTGAAGTCTAGTGTCCATTGAAAGGAAGGTTCTTTTTCAGTTGACATACATTGATACCCAGGTGAAAATTCAGCCAGCATGTCTCCTTCAGATGGAAAGAGAATTGCTTGCCTCTGCCTTCGGAAGCCTTGCGCCAGCTGCCTGTCGGGGTTGTGAGGGAGTTTCTGCTTTCGGTGGAGCGTGTCCTGGTGGATGCATTGCTTGACACATGTCTCTGGGTTAAATGGTAGACATGCCAGCAGGGAGACCCACCACTATTCTGCCAGTGATGAGATGCAACACACCAACAACTTGTATTCATACAGCACTCTTCACGCAGGGTAGAGTCCCGGAGAGCTTCACAGTGGCGGAGTCTGACAATGAGCCAAAGGGAGGGGGAGGTAACCATAAGCACGATCAAAAAGGAAGGTCTTCAGGTGGAATTTGAAGGTGTGAAGGAAGGGGTCGATGGAGACTCCAGAAATTGGAGCAGCCAAAACCCACTTGCTCTCGATGAGGGAGGGGAGCAAGACCACATGCTTTGTGATTGTTAACTAGCAGTTTTACCAGGATGACTGACCTGTTCCTGGGTTCTCTTTAATCCCGAACGGTTGCTTGGGGTGCATGCTAACTCTTTAATATTCTCCTGTGTGAAGGACAAAATGTGTTTTCAATGCAAGTGTTACGACCTAATGGACTGAGAATATATATAAGCCTTTATTGTTACGATAACATTTATCTACATGATCAGCTTTTACTGCTTTGTACACTGCGTCACGTCATTGTTTATTTTAAACTTTGAATTGCAATTTTTTTTTGTTGCTTGAAAATGCATAGGTAAATGGTAACCATTATTTAAGTGTTTTTTTTTTGTGAGTTATGCAAAACCTTTTTTTATCACTGACCTTTCATTGCAGGGTTGAGTTAACCCCTGACCTCACCTCCGTCTAGGTTCTAGGCCTGATGACTATTTCTGTAAGCAATTTATTGGTAAGGTTCTTCTTTACTCTCAGTACGCCCCGTCCCGTGCATGTTAACCCATCACGTAACAGCCACTGTCTCTCATTCTTCCAGTCTCGCCTGTTCAACAAATTAACCCTCTGTAACCAGGATCTATTGCAAACCTGTATCAATCCATCACTTGCCAATTAATGTGGTGTTTTGTGGGCAGATGAATTGATCTGGTTCCCAGTGTAAAACAATTGAAATTGGGGAAGGGGGTTGGGAGTGGGGGGTGTTAACTGATGCAGATGAGCATTAATACAGGTTTTACCAGATCCTATTTCATGTGGGTTGTACAATATTTGGAAAGCAAATGCACCCTCTCCTTGGTAATTCACTTAGAATAAGACAAGTGCCCCTGTACCCTGCACTGGTGGTCGGTTGTTGGTCTTTGTTTTTTTTCCTCTCTCTCTCTCTCTCTCTCGCTCTTTCTATCTCTCTCTCTCCTATCTCTCTCTCTCTCTCTCTCCATCTCTCATCTGTGTTAAGAATGTCTGCTTATCGCAATGTTACATCGCAATGCTGTGTTTTTTTTGTTTAAATCCTTTGTTTGGGTTTATGTGCCAAGCCAGGATTGTTAAGCACCTTGGGACATCGTCCGGACCGGAAAGACGCTGTAGAAATAATTT